CAAGCTTGTTCGGCAAAACGCATGACCGTGCTCCTTCTTTGACGAGCTGCTGACTCTCTCCATTTTTTTGCAGCTCTGGGATCCTTGGGTACCTGCCTTTCACCGGCTGGAAGTGGTGGGTTGACGACGAGCTCTGCCAGCGGGACCAGAACATATCGAATGGTGGCTGCTCGAAGGGTGGTGAAGATCAGGATGCCAGTAGCCACGAAGAGCAGATCCTTGGGGCCCTTGCCGTACAGCATTCCAGGTTTGCCGATCAGCCAGGCCCAAGGTTCGGAATTGGCGCTCAGGTGCTGGGGCGCGGGCGACGAGAGACCTGCAGCATGCGCAGCTGCGGAGACGGGAGATGTGAGGGGATCGGGTGGGGGTGGTATGGCATACGAGAGCCCCAAGCAGGCGCGCGTAAAGGCGTGCAGAGCGCTGAGGGGGTGCCCAAATCCAGCAGCGTCGCTTCTGAAAGGGCCAGCTGCTCCAGTCGCGGCTTCCCAGGCAGAGCTGAAGCCAGAGCCAGCAGCTCTCAGCTTGGATTCATGTGAGGCGTTCGGCAAGTCCGAGGCGAATGGTGCGAGCGAGGGAAGATGTCTGGCCCATTGAGGTATCAAGACTTGGATCGAGTGTGGCAGGTGCGTGGTTAAATGTGCGATCGATAGGGAAGACGTGCCCGACAGCATATGCATCACCACCAGTGCGAGCAAGCCGTAGAGTGGAACATCTGCGGTGGTAGCTACGGGTCAGCCGCGAAGGTAAACAGCGTCACGTTCCACATCCACCGCCCAGATGATGCGACTTGAGCCATGTGCGAGTGCGCTGCTCATGGCTGGCGAGAGCATATACGCAGCACCGGCTAAGCGTCTGCTGCGCCGAAACCCCTACTCACCAATTTGTCTGTCCAGCAACTTCTCAGCTCTCTCTTCCTTCTCTGTCCAACCCAGGCGTGACTCAGTAGCGTGAGAGCCTGCGGTGCCGCTCCTGCATGACCTGCTAGGCCATGCTGATGCTGCAGCTGTTGCAGGTCGAGCCGAGCTTCGTGAGACCTTGTCGGGTGTCATACTGAAGTGCGCTGCGCAAACAGAAGCCTAATGCTACTCCCCACGGGCTTGCGATCAGTCCGCCTTCCCGTAGTCGTCACGCGCGTCCGACACGATTCGTCTTGAGTGCTCAGAGATCGTTTGGGAAGCTCGGGGTCATGAGCAAGGGTTGCAACGATCTTTGAAGCGCGAGCTGTGCGGTCAAGAGTGCCTACGATGAGCGATGGCTTCACCAGTGTATGGGGTCGTGATGGTGGTCTGGCTCGAATCGAGGTCGCGGTGCTAGCGGCAGATGTCTATACACAGCCTGCCAAGCACTGGCGTGTTCGTGACGCGAGACTCGAGACTGGCGACTTGTGATCGCGTTTGAGCGCTTGTCGTCGCGCTCGTGCGAGATACGCGGCGGCAGCGCAGCGAGCCCAAGAAGAAAATGTGCGCGTTCGCACGGTCGTCGGGAGAAGAGGGGTGCGCGCCACATCTCTAGCGCCGCCGCCGGCCTCTTGGCCTGCTGCTGCTCTGCTGCTCTGCTGCTCTGCTGCTGCACGCATGCAGGCTGCCATAGCATTGCCGCACGCATCCCTACTTATGCGCAACCCAAAGCTCGCACATGAACTCAACAGTGTGAGTGCTTTCGCGTGCACGCGCGCGATAGCCGCTCCAAGTCGTGAATGATCACAGCTCTAGCACGAGCCGCGCGGCGATGGTGCTGCGCTTCTCGATGCGACCGCCCGCAGCATCCTACCCACGTCGTACGATTCACCGTGATAACAAAATAGCTGACCCCGAGCCACGACTCACGACTGCGATAGCAGTCGCTCGGGCCAGTCAGTGCTCTGGATACTCATGTCACAAGGCAACGCGCGTGAGGACATAGGAGATGAGCGGCAAGCGCCACGAGCAAACGAGCATGAAAGCAATCTTGAATGTCCGTCGCCATATCTTGTCACGAAGAAGTGCTGCGTATGGCTATGATAGCACCGTCGCAGGCGCTTCGTGGGAGCAGAGGTAGATCGATCAGAGCACAGAGAAGCTGAAAAGCCCAAAGAACTAGCACCACCACGCGTTCTCGCCTGCCACATCTTGGGCACAAATACCATTCAAGATCGGATCTAGTACATCGACGCAAAACAGGTTCAATAACATCGCACGCATACAGCACACGTCGTCCCACTATGTCGTCCTACGCACATCTCTATCCCAAGCTAGATTCAGCCGATGAGGAGCAAGCGGCTGCACAAGCATGCTACTGGCGGCCTCTGGGCACGTCAACATCGAGCGAGGCGGAGTACGAGCGCAAGGCGATTGGATCAGAGACGTTCACCTTCATCTCTCGCGCCGCGGATCCCAAGCATCACTGCAGCACCATCACTTGTTCAGCTGCCGTTTCCCTTCGTCAGAAAAAGATGACAACTTGACATCCGAATACGACGAAAGTGTATGGAAGCAGATTTTCAGAGCCGCTTGGATCGACGTAGCTCTCCGATTGCCCTTTGCGCTGCTTGCCAGACAGGACAGGCCCGATCAGCTCAAGATCCGCTTGCCCTCCAAAGTGCGAGAGATAGAGCAGTGGGCGGACGACACTATCTCGTTTGAGAAGGCCAATCACGTACAGCAGTCCAATATAGATGCGCTTCTTCGTACCAAGGAGGTGTTGGGGTGAGTTTCGAGGTTCTGAGCGCATACAAACGCGCGATAGCGTCTTATAGATCTCAGACGACCTCGTTTCTTGTTGTTCTGGCAGCCGTCTTGAATTTCCAACATCTTTAGGCAACGAAGCAAAGCTCCACGTCATGCCAGCCAACAATCCTCTTCGCTTCGTCGTGGCTCTCCAAGTTTCCCATTCTTTGACGGATGGTAGCGGTGCTTTAGCCATGTTGAAGCTCATCTTGCAGCACGTAGTCAATTCTGATGGCGACACTCCCGCGCAGATCGACCTACCGGCAGTGTCCGTACTCGCTTCTCGTTTGCTTCCGGGATTCTCAGCTCTCGTTCGCGAGGATGCCCGACCAAAGCCGGAGCAGTACGAATCGATTACGATGCAGGTGGGTCCAAAGACGGCTCTCGGTGGCACAACTCAATTACTGAAATCCTTCGATTGTCGATCCGCCAGCAAGTGGGCAAGATGGCCGGAGCTGGACTTCACGCATTCAAACTGCATTTCGACCGACCTTTTCCCCCTTCGGAATGGGGCGCCACTCTGAACGTGGTCGAGCAACTGAGCGAGGATCTGACGAGAAGAATCAACGCCTTTGCCAAGATGCACAAGCTCAAGGTCAGCTTCTTGATTCATGCAGCGTGGGGCCTGACAAATGCAAGGCAGAATAGGCAGCAAATGAGGAGCGATACCACGATAGCTGGCTTTGTTGCCATCAACAGCAGACGAGCATTTCCTTCGGAGCTGCAAGATCCAACAATCAGCGCACAAGGCTGCGTGTCGCCCTTATCGATCTGCATACCCATTGGCACGGCCACAGCAAATTTCGCTGATCCCACTGAGAGACTTTTGATGTTGTCCAAGCACATGGCGGACGAGTTCAAGGAGGTGGAGAAGCAGCGTGGGACGATGGCTTTCTTGTCTGAGCGCTGGATGCAGCGCCTGGGTGCTGCTCATCCTACTGGAGAGACACCGGCTCCAGTGCAACATCCCATGCTTGTGTGTCATGTTCAGCTGCGCGCACTGGCAACTTCACGTCTTCACGGCGGAAAACCGCTGACTTGCCGTCTGCCGCTCCACAACCGCATCGGCACCGCTACAGATACCAGATGGCAAATACGACCGCATCCTACCTCCCATTTTACGCTCAGAGACAGCGTTGGAAGTGGAGTTGCACACCGAAGCGATTTTGATGGGCATAGACCATGGTGGTCCAGTCAACGTCACGCCCATCGGGGCCAGATGGTGGAGTTTCCGCGATCGACTACACTTCGGAGCGGACTTCAGCGAGGGAAACTTTGAAAAGCGACAGGTGCAGTTCTATTTGAGCGATTGGAAGGAGATCTTGGAGGAGGTCGTCTAGTATAGGCGATCCCTTTGGATTCAGGCTCGGCATCGACATACAAGGTGTCTCAGATAGTTACATGGCTGTAAAAACTGATCACGATCTTGAATGTAGACGGGTCCACGCGTACATTCCTTCACACCAAGTTTTGAGACGCGATGATCGACACGTTATACGCTCTTCGAGGTAGGCACCAAGGGGCGTCAACACAGAGTGATGCTTCAGCATCTACCAGTGTGGTGCTCGATCGACGCGGTCCCGACGTATTTCTGCGCAGATTGACGATCGTATGGATCTTCCACTTTTCTGCAGGTGTGCACCTTGGCAAGTAAATACGCAATCGTTGCGCCCGTGCGACATCCCCACGTCTGGCAATTTCGGGCCCAAGCCGCCACTATTTACGCTGCACTCCTCTATTGCTTGCACACCGCCTCTGATCTATGCCGGAAGTGGGACCCAGTGGCCCGAAGTAAGGTGAGGCCTGAGCGCTCTACACCATCTCTTTTCGCCGCGAGTCACACTTGCATGCAGATGCTCTGCCTTCACTGGCATCAAGGAGTTTTTGCCACTGTTATCTCTACCCCTGGACAATTTGACGCCGTTCTTGAGGAGCCTGTGCACGGCGATCCGTGAAAGAAGGCTTCTGAAGCGAGGGGATACTCGATAGATATCCTATGCGCCGCATCACACCTCTCTGGGCTTGTGCGAGAGCCATGCCAATATAGGGAAATCGCAGCACAATAATGAGTGCTCTGGTGCCGCAGGGCTGTAGGCGCGCCGTCGCGACATCGCCATTCCCAGCAGACTTTATAAAGAGTGTACCTGCCCCGAAATTACCTCCCCTTCCTATTACCTCCAAGCTCTCTTCCTTTCCTACGCCTCCAAATACACCTTCTTTCGAGCACCTCCAAGTCCTCCCTCTGTACGCATCCCCTCACAATTACGAACCTCAGCTACATCCTTCTCCAGCAACGCAACCTCCTAAAAAGATCCCTTCTCGCCAAAAGGTCTTGTTGGCCCGTCCCATCATGGACACTGAGGACCCAACACATGAGCCGACTCACCCCGGTGAAGAAGGCCATGACGCGTATCTGGACGAAGAGGAAGACCTGCTTCGAGAAGAGGAGCCCTTGCAAGAAACGATCTTGCAGTCTTCCCTCTGTACACAACAGCTATCAGTCGCAGAGAGATCGATGTATTGAAGATGACGAGGTCTCAGCTCTGCGG